AATGTGTTACTGAAAAAATACTGCATATTTTTTTCAACACACACAGTTTGGACACAGGTTTCTTCCATTTCAATTATAAACATTTTATCAGAGTGTCAAGAGACAAAGTCAGCTTCATTAAACATTTATTCTCATGAAGCAGGTAAGGCCCACTTTTCCTAGCTTCACTCACTCAGCAGCACGCTTATTTCTCCACATTTGTGGTGTAAAGAGCTTTCCACATTCCCATGTGAGCATAAGAACAAAAGAAAACCTAGAAAACATGTTCATTTTAGTTACATGTGGAAGTAACGTAAAGCTCTGCACTGCGGGATATCATAAATATTTCAATGGAAGCAAAAAAGAGAATCTGCAACACCTACACACACCTCTACACACACCTCTATGTAAATGTTGGGGATTCATCCCACAAGATCTGGCTCAAGGGAAGATTATGTCAGCAACCACATGAATGCACAAAACTCCATAGAGGCAGTAGTAGTGATATGTGTTAAAGCTTTTCATGTGTAGGAGTTTTGTTTTTTCTCCACATTGTATGTTGCTCACTCTAAACAATGTCTCTGGACACAGTTCTGAACACCATTAGAGCTTGATCATTGATATAACACAGATTTTACACTTTTACTTTTTTTGTGTAATTTGATGTAGTGAAGTAAAGTAAAGTAAAGTAAAAGGTTAAAAAGGCATAGGAGAGAAGAACATTTAAAGAAATAGTTAAATATAGCAAAATTGAGTCTAAGGGTATGTTTTTTCCACAGAATCTCTTATCAAACATTTTGTGAGTCCACAAAACAAACACACTGACATGTCAGCCTTTAATGTTAGATAATACAAGAGAATAATCAACTGGTGTCTACCTCCTCTCTCTGGCCTCTGGATAAGAATAAAACAACACATGCCATGGTCTTCCTCCTCCTCCATCCTTCCCACCCCCCCTTCCTTCACTTTATTTTTCCACCCACCATCTAGTATTCCTCCATCTCTCCCTCCTCTCCTCTCCTCTCGGCAGCTACCATCGCTTCCTCCAGACTTTCATACGTCCTCCATCATCTATCCGTCACTCAGCCTGTCACACTCTGCTCCTTACCTCCATCACTGTCTCCCCATCTATATTTTATTTATTTAGTTATGCGGTCATACAGCTTTCCCATTCCATCTCCACATTTGCCAGTGATCTGACCTTTTCCTTGTGATTGGAAACATTAGCAAACCATTTGCTCACAGACTGTAAACACACTCCCACAGCAGTCAGGCAGAAGAAAAAACAAAACACCTTCCCACAGATTAGTTGAGGTTATATAATGGTTTACTGACATTTTCTGACATTTGGAGTTTATTTTGATGATTGTTTTGTGCTTATTTGATTAAGCATGTTGTTATGTCATACAGTGGCTTTACAGAAGGCCATTATTGATAATGTTATTTAAAAATCAGGGCTTTGGGCCTCAAAATTTTCTCAATATCAGGCACTGGTATCAATCCCAATACCATTTTCAAGTCCCATTATTCTGTCAAGGTTGTTAAGATTTACAGATCTGAGAATCAGTGGAGGGACTATGGTAATGTGTGCCAGTATATCCCTGTGTTTGGCATTCTGGTTACTTGCTAGTGTTACTCCCTCCCTCAGTGCCACAGCTTTTAGCACTGATGTTTGGTTTTAACTCATGTTGGCTAATGACACTGCCTATTCATGTTTAATAAATTAAGCCTACGTACCTGGACCAAAAAGAGTTGGGGATGCAAAACTCTGATCCAGAATAATCACTGTCAAGAACTAGTCATTATGATGTCATACATAAAGAACTATATGCCTTTGACAGCACAGTGTTAACTAAATAAACATGAAAAATGATGCGACTGTTAGCTACCTATAATAAACTGTCCATATTATAACCTGCTCAAACTGCAAATAAGACCAGCTTATGATGTTGGTTGCATGTCTCTGTTTATCAATAATAACCTGTTATTGGTTAATTACTGCAGCCAATTTACATTTTTCATGCAGTGGTCTTTGTATTGACCATTTGCATTTATGTGCAATTTAAATGAGATCAGGGTATTGCCATTTTATAATATTTAAATTGTGTTTCAGGTCATGGTCTTGTTTTAGGAGCCAACAACAATCTAATGCAAGTTAATTAAATCTTTTTTGTGAGGTGAAAGGACAGTGTAACATCACCATGGTTTCAGTGTTAATGAAAAACATCACTCTTATGATGCTGGTCCTGTAAATAATAGCAAATAACGTAAGACAAACACATTAACAGACCTTCACATGCAACTTCAAAGCTACAGGGTAAGCTACAACCCTATAAACCTTTAGTTCTACATATTGGTCTATCATTTCCAAAAGCTTAACTATTTTGATACAGTGGTGTACATTTTTATTCAGCCTTCCCAGGTCAATACTTTAAAAAACAACCTTTTGCTGCAATTACAGCTGTAAGTCTTTAGGCATGGCTCTACTAGCTGCAGAAATCCATGATTTTTCTGTATTTAGCTCCCCCTATCTTCCCATCAAATCTGACCAGATTTCCTCTACCTAAATTCTTGTTCACAGTTTACAACTAAATCAATCATTCATGCACTAAGTTCACAGCTCCAACATGAACTAGCTCTTGTTCATTTATCATATTTTGTCTGAAATCAAGTTTTAAAAACTGTACGCATAGGTTATTACAGCTTTCATCAATTAGCATATTGATTATGTCATCACCTAACATTTGAAACCAGCCCTTAATCTGTTTTGCTCTCTCTTTTTGTGTTTGTTGTTGTCCGCGTTAGACACAGTGATAAACTCAGAGAAGGTATGCAATGAAGACACAAGCGAGTCAAACTTATCTTCGGCTGGCCAGGGAGAGACAGTCCATTCTCTCAGAGGAGCTGCCCTGTGTCACAGCCTTTTTTTAAAGAAAGGAAAAAAAACACTCATGTTATAGCATCGTGGGTGTGGCTAAACACAGTTTCACAAATACAAGTCCTACTGAAGAAAAAACTGGTTCTGTCCAGATACTGATACAGCACACACGTCAACATCTGGCATTCAAGGACACGAAGATTGGCTGGGGTGCGAACAGCCCTCCTCTCAGAACTCCCCTGCACACACACAAGTTCCTGCTCAGTCTGCATAGCAACCACCCAAATGCAACTCTAAGACAAGATGACAATTCTGTTAATAGTTCATAAAAGTACTTCAAAGATAAATGTGAAAAGTATTCAAACCCCTTCTATCAAAGTTCACCAAACTAAATAAATGAAAATGTCTTTTAATGGTAAAGGATAAAGAACCTTTTTTAAACAAAGCAATGATAATTCATGTACAAATCTTTCAACAGTTATTTTAATGTTTTTGTTATCAGAGAGCAAAAAGAGTCTGGAATTTTGACCAAAAGGCATTCCAGTTAGACTTTGTTTGTATTAGTGGTCACTTTTAACCTTCTTACGACCATCAGCTCATATAAGATCTAGCATGAGTTTTAATGTTTTTCCCTGCAAACTTTTATTGTGCTGTTAAAACTATGAATGTTGAGGTTGTCTTGGAAAAAGCAGCAGAATCACTCACTAATCACCTTTGTTTGATAAGTCTACAGCCATAAGATTAAAATAAATCCAGCTGGCCTATATATATAGTTTGCTCAAGCTGACAAAATCTTCAATAATGTAAATTGACGTCGGTGGTCTGAGTAAAAAGTTAAGTGTAACAGAATGCTGTGGTAGTATCCCCAGCTCAACAAACTCTGTCTGTGTTTTCATTATTTCCTTGTTGTTTGTTATCTTCTAACAGGTCTTGCCATATTTCCTCAATATTTAAGCTTCTGGTTTTTCACTGTGCATTGCTGCACCTTTTTGTTAAATACCTATTACTCTGTTGCCCTATTGCATTAACTGTTAGTCTGCCCATGCCCCATGTACTGTTTTTCTTGTGCGTTCCTGTAAGTTTTCCAGTTCATTTATTAAAATCTTCATTATGCTCATCAACTGCCTTTCTGCACTTGGGTCATATGCTATGCTCACACCACATGACACAAGTCTCCAGCCAGACAAAGAATCCATCAACAGGATCATCCGAGGATGCCGGCATCTCCATCCCACCTTTCAGCCAGAACTTATGCTTGATGCCCTGCACTTCCTAAGCCAGGGTTAGCATGGTTTCACACCTCAGCCACTGCAATCTTCTCCACCACCCATCTCAGCATGTCCTGTTTCCGTTTCCTCCCGCAGCAGACGACTCCACTTCCGTTCTAGAGGGTGTGGTTAACGCCTCCAATCCCATTCCAGAGGGTCAGGCCGACAACTCCACTACTGTTCTGAAGGGTCTGCTCATTGCCTTCACTCTTGCCCCAGCCTCTCTTATTTCATCTCTGGCCTCCAGGTCCAAAGCTGGCTCATCGTCAAAGGTCTCTCCTCAGAGTTCCTGGGCTCAGATTTTTCCAGTGCCTCCTGCTTCTTCATCAGTGCCTTTTATCAATCTGCAGATGGGTGTGGTTCCTTCAACTTCCTCTGCAATTTTCAGCACCAGTGCCTGTTCCTTGCATCCTCAGAACACCGGTCTCTCCTCAGGAACTCTGACCCAAGCTTGCTTTTACACCACCTGCTGCACCCCTGCCCCACTCAGCAGTCTACAGCATAGAGCAGCCTCCACGTACTCGTCTACCGCATCTTCTGGTCTCCTAACCACCCTTCAGACCTCCTTCACCACTGTTGTCACCCATCGCCACTGATCTCCAGACCTACTTCGCCACCACAGCCGGCCTCCAGACCTTCTTTGCCACCACAACTGGCCCCCTGACCTCCTGCGCATCGCCAACTGCCTCCTGACTTTCTGCACCGATCTCCTGTCCTCCAGTGCCATCGATCTCCAGGTCAGCTCACACGACTCCTCTATGTCAAGCCCCAACCATCCCAACATAGGTTTCTGAGGTTGCACCAGAACTCTGGATCAACAAACAAATCACACATACACTCTCATAGCTAAAAGCAATTTAGATAGTCAAAATAACTTATCCCACCCTGGGATTCGAACCCAGGACCTTCTTGCTGCAGGAAAACAGTGCTACCAACTGCGCCATAGTGCATCCCCAGATAAAAACAGAAAAAAAAAAAACAGCATATATCATATAGCATAAAACTGGTTAAAAGCCAGTCTGAAAAAAAATGTGTTTCCAGCTGCTTCTTAAAAGAATCAAATAATGAATTATTGACATAAATTAACTTTTCAGTCATATTTAAAATTACTGAACATGACTGTAAATCAATACATTGCAGCTTGTGCGTTTGACTTAAAATGTTTAAAAATTGATGTGGTATCACTACATTTGCAAGGCCCTGTAGGTAGCTGCTCAATCCTCTATATGTGTAAACCACAGGCAAAATCATTCAGCAGTCTGTAAGGAAATAGCACTCATTATTTAAGAGTCCTCACTGATAATATCCCATAACTCTGGGTTCTGTTTGTATAGTTATTGTCCCCATCTCGTACAACTGCTCTGAGATTTTATGACACACCTTACTTGTAAGACTGTTTCATTCCTATTTTCTAGACTTTTTTATTCACTAAATAAAATCATGCCTCGGCACAACAGTAAAATAAGACATGTGTTGTTTACAATGCACCCTTCTGCTTCTACAGCTTAGAACTGTCCAATATATTGTTGTAACAGTAACTTCAGTTATCGCTGCACCAGCACCTTATAGACGATCCTGTTTTCATGTTCTGGATAACAGGATTGCATCTCGACTGATTTATGTTTACTATAGGGTACAAATGTTACAAGCTAGATTTTAGCAAACAATAAACCTGCATTCATTGTTTCAGAGTGAATCATAAAGCTCTCTGAGTAAATTAATGAATAAATGAATAAATGAATGAAAGAATATATTTGTTTCAGCTTTTCAGTCTTTGTAGCTAAATATTTTTAGTGCATGTATGTCCTACCTGTTTCCTCATAAAAAGCCAAATTAAGAACTGGGTCTGAAATTTAGCCACTGCCTAAAAGAGCTATGCAGAAGATAACGGTCACTTTCGCTGTCCCTAAACAAAACAAAAGATAATTCAACGAATGACAGGATTCCTTGTACATATGGTAAATAGACTGAATTGATATAGCACTAGCCATTTTGACCACTAATGCTTTACACTAGAGCCACATTCACCCAGTCGCACAAACACGCATACATTCACACACAAATAGGCAGATTGGTATGCAACTTGGGTTAAAGTGCCTTGCCCAGAGGCACATAGACATTGTGACGGGAGGATGCCACAGTCGCCTTCGAATTAAATGCAACAGCTGATACCTGTGATAAATTATTTTGCTCATCCATTCATTTGTTCAATGTACATACTCATATTTTCCTCTTCAGGTTCATATGTCAGTTGAAGTTTATCGAGCCATATGGTAAAATGTTAGTTCTCTAAGTCTAGGAGGAAAAGAAAAGAGGAAACCTAATGCTTTAACACTAGACTCCCAGAATTCTAACACTACTAGAACTCCCAAGCCCGTCAATTTGACGGCAAGCATCGATGCGAGGGTGGTGATGATGTCATCGCATTACAAGCGGTCAGAATGCTAAAGGTTTTCTTGCATGCTATAAAATTATGGTTTTGACAAGAATTCATAATAGTATTTGATCACAAATAATACAGAGTAGCGGGTACATTTGTTTAAAAAAAGCTTTACTAATCTGACCAAAAGCTGGACAGCTCCATGTTACGCCCCCCTTTCACTTCGCGGACATAAACTAGTGCTAAAAACGCTGTGAGCTCATCCACACTCATGTCTGTGGAGGAATCATCTCCTAAAATTCTGCGGGCCTCAGCGACAGTGCAGCCCTGAACGTTGATGAGTATTTCGGCATCCACTAAGCAGAGGAACGCGGTCTGGGCATCTTGGATCTGGTGCTCTGTCAACGCATTCTGGCTCTGACGTCTCCCTCTACTGTCTCCCTCCTTACTACTGTCCACACAGCGCCATCCTTACCTATCTCCTCCCCTATCCCAGGTGTGGGCTCGTCTTGCGATGAAAGCGCGGTAAAGCGCAGAATAGATTGTTGTTACTGGGCTACTATACCTATCTATGACCTCTTTGTCCATTATCAGTACCTTGATTTGAAGTTTCTCTCCGGCCAGTAAGCTGGATTGCTGGGTTTATAGCTGGGCACTGCGCACCTGGCTTGTCTCCCTGTCTCTGAAGCTGCGCTGATTGTGGCACTGTTGCTATATAAATAGTTTATATATTATTATTTTACTTATCTGTAAGCCATTGCCTAAAATGATAAAATCATTACATAATGCGCCACAACCTCCTGCCAATGGGACGACTTGTGTTTTTTTAGCTGGGGGAGGCTCACTCTCTGTCACTCGAACTGACTGACCAAGAGCCGTCAGAATCCCTCTCGCCCCCAGAATCACGATCATCAAATTTTTGAAAAATTTCCAATGCCTCTTGAGCAGAAAATATCTTTCTAGAAGCCATTTGTAGGATGCCAACAGTCTGACTGGGTTCTAGAGTGGCGTTTGCTTGGCAACGCTCGCGCTTATACTCAGCCGCGGGAAAAAATATCAATGTAAATAATAGGGGTGTCAAAATAGCAGCTGTGCTAGTTAAAGGTAGAAATACTTAGATCTTTTATTTACTTTGTTATTTTTTTTTAAAAGAGACATAGGAATACACAAGAGACAAGTTTAGAAAAAGTCAGGATGCCAGGAAGATAAGAGTTTTAATAAACCATAGTTATGGCATGTCCAACTTTCAAAACCGTCAAATTGACGGCCCTGGGAGTTCTAGTGTTAATCACCATGAGGCCATTGGACAAGTGTTTTTCTGTTATGTCTACATGTCTTATGATGATTAAACCATTAGGGTTTTTTATTTCTTTAGAATTAGAGAATTTTCATTAATATCAGCAGGGCAGATAATAATTATGGTAGAGTGATGACCGCTTACAGCAGTGTTGAAACACTAAGTGAAAAAAAAACTACCTCTTAATTTTTTTAGAATACATTAAGTTCCATTGTAAAAGTCTGTGCACATTACAGCTTAATATTTGTTGAGAGGCTGTCTCTGTTGCACTTCGCATTAATTGTCTGTTTGCCCTTGAATTAAAATCCCACTCTATTCTAAAGCCGGCGGCACACCAGGCAAGGTTTACCTCTGCTGTGGTGCAATTACAAACTAAAGATTAAAAGCCACTGAACTGTACAGGCTTCCAAAGCTAGTGATAAATATTTGTAAGTGCAACATGGAATGTGACGTCATGATATATAGATTACAATTACATTGTTAAATTCTTTACGAACCCCATAAATAAAGGTGTATTGTTCTATAATGTTATATGTGTTTTTTAAGAGCAATAAAGGCAGAGTTTTACAAGAACAAAGAAACAATGTGAACTGGGACGTGCGAGCTGCCAGTCTATAAATGCTAAGGTATCTACTAGATTAACAGTTTTTGGAACATGATCACCTTTTTTATAATTTAATAACATGTGATTGAGCAACTTAAAAAGGCATGGCAGGCATTTGAAAGGACACAATGACATAACAGCTGTCTAGTGCTATAATCCCAGCATGAACAATGAATAGCTGATAATTAGTTAATGTATCCATTATATTAACACATCATTCTTTTTTGCAAAAAAATAAAATAAATGAACAGAACAATAATAGCTCATATAACACTCTTTCAAGTTTGAAAAACATTCCATAAGTAAAATACTTGTAAAAAATATGATTCGACTGACTCTGTCCTTTTTAAAATATGTGTGAAGATGAAGTTGACTACCAAGATCCTTTTACATTTCCAGTGTTACAGAATAATGTTTTCCTACCCCAAGGGGGGATCAGGAGATCGAAGGTGGTGCTCAAGATATGTTGTGTAATTATTAAGTAAAAATTAGCTTATACTACATCTTAGCAAGTTTTTACACACTTTCGCCTTAAAATGAAGTATATTTTTTAATGTGCATTGGTAGGTTGGCTGTTGTGTAGACAATATGTCTATGAAAAAATGAAAATAAATATGAACAATTGTAGAACACATTTTACGAACACTATACAAACAGGGGACTGTAGTTGCAACATTTTCTTCCTATGATAAGTCTAACAAGCATAAGGTCTGCCATCAAACTTCAAGCAGCGCAGTTGTGGCCAAAAGATTTAATAAGATGTGTTGAAATGTTTTGTTTTGAGAAATTTGCAAAAAAGATTATGCAAAGAGATTAGATGCATGTTAAGCACTTTATGCTTTCTTCTGCTGACAAGCTATATGGAGATGATGATTTTCCAGGAAAACCTGACACCTGTTCACACAGCCAACAGGTGGGCACAATTAAGTGACTATTTGCTTTTTAACCTTTTCATGATATTAAGATTTGTTATATACATTACATATATAAATAGACATAAATAAAGAGATATAGATTGACTGAAGTATGATTGTTGCTAAATATTAAACTACAAATCAGACACCAGCTTCAATGTCACTAGCCAAACGCGGGGCATATTTTCCAACAGTACTTACACTGTGCACAACACTGAGAAGCACCCATTCTATGTTCACTCTATGGTCATTTGAGATGGGATAGGTCTTTCTTAGTCAATTTTTATTTTTTTATTTTTTTATCAAATTCTTTATCGAGTCACCCTTCAAGTTCTACCACAGTGAGCAGTGAGCGAAATCGCTTGTATCAAAAACTACCCCCGACCCCAACCATAAGACCAAATCCTAAATCTTCACACTCAAAATCACATTACACCAGGGTAACCTGAAGTCTGGTTCTTATCTTTACAGGAGATTCTCTTGGGATGGTGTACTTTGAAGTTTTGTTCCCCAACACAATTCAAATATTTGATGTACAAACACAGACAAATGTATACGAATGGTAGGATCACAAATTAAATTAACCTTTTGAGCAGAAAGCTGATTAAGTGCAGGAGAGGTTCTGCAACAAACAAATGTTGGTGTCACCTGTCCTGTCTGACTTTGTGCACAGAAATACAGTTGTCAGTGTAATGTTAATCAACAAAGTCAGCTGATCAACATCGCTCGGCTTCACTTCCTGTAATCACTGGATT